AACTTCCATATGCTCTCTCCCACTTTCCATGAGGCATACCTAGAAATGATTAAAATTAGGATACTGCTCAGTCATCATTCTGCTAGTTTAATTGGAGGACTGGGCATAAAAGATTGGGTTCAATAACTACCTACATGATATTTACATATACTGTGTCTATATTCTACCACGTATTAAATCTTGAAGGACATTCTTGTATCAAAGTTGTTTAGTCTCCTCATGTAAAATGGAGAGCTAACGTCCTTGGAATAAAGGTTGTTTCAGTGCTAAGTAATCATGCAATATTCCCATGGTTTCCTTATTGATACGAACTGAATAAAGGGTTGTTTACTACCTAAAATCAAAATGAGATTGAACCATTTAGGTCCAAATTATAATTAAAAAGAGCCAAATTGCCACAGCTTCTTTCTCTTCCTCCCATTGCTACTCATCTGTTAACCATCTTAACAGCTAGCAATGGACAGTGTCCACTCTATAGTGCATCAGCAATACTTAAGCATTATCTTCTAAAGCATTATCTTCTATATACTACTAAAACCCTCATCATGACTTTTACCTGGGCAAAGTAGTGCCTTTATAGAGCAACCATTTTTGAACCAAGGAAACTCAAAGTGGCTAACCTACTGAATGTGTGCAAAACTGGGACCCATGACTCCTGAGGAAATGAAATTTGGGGAAGTGGTGGCTGCTTCATTGCTACAGGCTGCTGCCATGCTGCTGGGCTGCTACTGCAGTCATGTGATCTTCATTTTCAACATTCCATGACAATTTCCCAGCCAGTCTTATAATCCCTCATTCCTTCCCCACCCAGCAGCAAGAAATTGATTCATCATGTGGCTCTTAAAGAAGCAACAACTTTAAGATGCAAGAACAAAGGCCTGGGCCATAAGTTTATAATACATTCATGCAAGCCAAAATACCAAACCCAAATGAAGATCCAGAGCTGCATAAATTAGTATTCAAGCACAGAAACCATGGCCAGTATTGCAGCAGAATCTCAGTGTTGGAAAAATGACATATGCAGTAGGAGGCACTCAAAGCCATTCAATTAGTAACCAGATGTGGTGAAGATTCATATCCCATCCATATGAGCTGGTCTTCAGAAATGAGGAACATCAAGTAGGACTACAGAGTTGAATTATAGCTTCTCAAAAGGCAGTACTCTATAAGGCATAATTACTGAAGGTGTTCAATTGTCATCTCAACATATGCCCATCTGTCAAATCCATCAAAAACATCATCAAGTATACCATAAAAGAGAGTGATCAGGCAACTTTTGAACAGAGCATTGAACAGAGAAAACAAAATCACACAGTACTTGACAGACAGATATATTGGGCCTTCTAAAGCAGTTGCATCAATACTTGATTTCAAATTATTGAAAAGGAACTAGCTGCTATTTGCCTTCAAATGCACCTTCCAGCATTCTTTATTTTTTCAAGATAATGCTGCTGTGTAACTGAATAATGATATTGAATGAATCACTTTAACATGGATCATGGATCTTTGCAAATATGATCCATTTGCAAAAACACAGTACTATGTGGATATTCCAAAATTCTCCACTTGGACTAATAAGAAGTGGTAAAGAATGAAGATTGGGAAAAGAATGTACAAGTTCTCCATTCAATTTTTGAAGCCAATGTTCTGGGTTGAGTGTACAGTATACTATTTCTCCATGAAGAGAAACTCTATTGTCTTGCTAACAAATACTGAAATCAACAATCCATGGTAACTGTGGAACCAGTTCAAGAATGCAATGTGTGATGATTTCCTGCAAATCAAGGACAAATATCAATGCTCCTAATATCAAGAACAATAGGAGACATCACGAACAGTCTTTTATGTATTTTTAAGAAAAACTCAAGAAATTTGGAGACATTTAAAGGATATAATTTGCCAAAACCAACGAACAGTACAATTAACCAAAAAGGTGGCAATAAGGAATTATTGCACAAACTGCAATACAACGGAGACAAAGAGCAGAGATTTTAGCAGACAATGAGCCCCTATTGAATAATGAACAAAAAGCAGTATCTGACTTGTGTGTAAGTGCTTGCAAACTTTTTTCAATAATTTTCATTGTTGCACCATGAGAAATGAGAAATACATTTGTTATCAACTTGATCCTAGCTGGAAATGTTGCTATTGCTGTAGCATTATCCGGTACTGCAGCAACATTGATGTCTGATGGTAGACAGTGCATTCAAGATTCAAGATACTCCTCAAAGTGAATGAAAGTGCTCTATGTAACATAAACAAAACAACCAAACAGTCACCCCCACCAAATTCTGCAAATTTGGTTTGACATGGAAGGCTTAATTGTCTGGGATGAAAATCCTATTATTAGGAGAGTGAGTTTTGAAGCTGTAGACTGGTCTCTTCGTGATGTATGAAAAATGAGGCCTTTGGAAGAATCTTAACCATTTGCTGTGGAAATTTCCATCAGCTTCTACCAATTGTGAAAAGAGAAATGTTGCTAATGTGCAGAATCCATGCATCAAAAATCATTTTTATGGAGAAGCTTTATCAAGTTTTAATTGAAGAGAAGCATACAATTGAGAGAGGGATGTTGGTGAAGATGAAATTCAGAAAAATCAAAATGATGAAATAGAATTAGCAATAGCAATACCACTTAGACTTATATACCGCTTCACAGTGCGTTACAGCCCTCTCTAAACAATTTTGCAGAATCAGCATATTGCCCCCAACAATATGAGTTTCTGATTGTCTGTTGCTTGCAGGCAACGGTTGCAAGCAAGAATTACGGTTCTTGCAAGCAAGAACTATGGAAGAATGTATAAATTTCATCTACCCAACATTTGACAATCCTGCAGAACTGTTCTCAAAGAACTGTATTTTGATTCCCCACAACAAAATTATGACAAAAATACATTTTTTATGTGTTAGACACTTTCCTGGAATGATGAAAGAATATTCTTCCTTCAATGCTATCAGCAAAAAAGCTATAACACTACTCATTTTGCCACAGAATTCCTTCATTAAACTGAATTCTTTAGATTGCCATCACATAAATTGGAATTCAAGATAGGATCTCCCACCATTTTAATTAGGAACTTGGATCTTCCAAGACTTTGCAATGGAATGTGGATGATTATGAAAGAACTCCATAAGAATCTGGAGAAACCAGTATTCCAGCATGGTCAGCTGTATGTCACTTTAAGCCAAGGAAAAAGAAGTGAAAATGTTGGAATACTTTTAAGAAATGGCAGATCAACCACAAATGTTAGCATCAAATATGTCTTTTGTTAAACAAAAGTCTTTTATATTTGTCTTGCTATGCATCTTTAATAAAATGTTTTCTTCTTAATTTTAGAACCTAAACAATAGCAATCTGCTGGTGGTCATTCTGTTTCTCTACTTAAGTGAGGATGACCCAAAGGGCCATGAGTTGTTTAGTAATAAATAAGATTGTCTCAGCATAGGATGAGAATAGGAACTATTCCTTTATTATATTGTACATTTTTTGCAAAACAGGCTGAAAAATTGTGGTGAGAATCAGATGCAATTATGAGAGGATCTCTATCCTTATGTAATTTTAGAATATTAGCTGGAATCAATTCATAAATTATTTTATATTAAACCTCAGTGGCCCTGGTGATGCAATATTATATAAGATCAACCAGCATTTGACATATGGTCATATTACAGAGGTATCATATAATCTAAATCTAGAGCAATAATTTTCAAATGGGAGCAAAATATGAAATTGGGCCTTAGCCAATTACACTGCCATGAATGCAGTAGATCAGTGGATCCCCTATAGCCTTTTCTTATATGTGAGGTACACCAATGATGGTGTATATCGTGTTATGCATCCATAGTACAGAAATACCATGAGACTATGCCACTGAATTTCTAGATGGCAGAGTACAGCAGATAGATAAAAATGCATTTTAACTGAAAATTACTGATTTTTTTTTTTACTTCTGTGACTGATTTCTACAGAAACCGAGTCAATTTCCCTAATATTTTAAATAGTAATAGTCAATAGAAAAGAATGTTAGCGCCCTCAAGCAAGAAGAAAAGAAGCTAAAACAGCTCTTATGATCCGTTCAAGAAAAACAGACTTGCATTTAGATTGTATCAGTTTTATGTGCATTATATCATGGTAAATTATTGAAGTCAATAATGTTAATACTACTGTCAATGCATTATTTGCATATACCACAATTCTATCTCTATTGCAGCCAGTATAAAATTTTCTAGGCAAGTTCCAAGATCTTTTGTAACACTCCATAGAGTGGGGTGGAAGTGGGACAGTGGAGAATGCACAAAATTTTTGCCCAGTTTTTTTTCTTCCCAGAAGTTTCCTCTCCCCTCCCCAGTTTTTCTGAAGCAGAGCAAATTCTGTCAAAAAAATGATACTGGTTAGATAGCAATGCATTTAAAAAGTGCAGGTAGAGAACCAGTAAAAATCCCTGTATTCAAAAATTGAACAAATGAAACACTGTTGGAAATCCATTGCTGTTGGAATTCAGAAATGTATTACGTTTTATTCATATGCTATAACAATAGGACTGTTCTTTCACAAGGAATATTAGCAACTTTAAAAAAAACCCATTAGAGTGTGCATTATTGACTGCAGGGTATTCTTTCTTTGATAGGTTTCTGAAGGTTTCTTAAAAGTTCAGTGTGACTACTTTGTGGTCCATCCAAGAACTTCTGAGGATGCAAGTAAATACACAGAAAGTAGTTTTGCTGGGATACCCAATGCAGTGATGGATTGCATGGCCAAAAAACTGTGAAGGCTAATTGTACTGCAGCTCTTTTTGTATGAAGTATCTGTAGTCTAGTGCTATTTCAGTAATACAACAAACTAGGGGTGTTTAAATATGTAGGACATATACATATACATACACACATATATATATATACATACATATATATGTATGTATGTATGTATGTATGTATGTATGTATGTATGTATATCAGTTGGGGTGTTAGCCAATTCTCAGAAAAAAAGAGAAAAACCCATATTTATCATAATATGACTTTATTATCATCTCAATGTTTAGGAGTTACGGCAGCTACAGAAAGCAGATACAAATAAATGATTAATACAGGCTTAACCACTGGGCAATGAACACTAAAAATGTTATTCCTGTTAAATGACACCCCCCCGCCCCCCAAATTCCATATCAAAACCTTATCTCATGATGGACCATTTCAGACTGATTTCCACAAACATTATTTAATTGTTCTAATTAAACTGATTTTTTTAAAACTAATTTTTCTAAGTCAGCTTTTATCAGCTTTTTTCCTGTCTTCAAAGAAAATAAAAAAAATCATAATAAAACTAGCAGACTGAAGGGAAAATCAGGCTAATGGGAAAATGTGTAAGTAACATTTAAAATTTAACCGAGAGTAAAATGCGTATTTCTTTGGTTAAAAAAAAAAAGGGGGGGGGGGGAAGTGGAGCAATATACTTGTGTGTTTGATAGATGTACACTATAGCATTCTAAAACAGAAGACAAGAATGTCAAGAGTGTATTCTTCCCCCACCGCCAGATGGAAAGGCTATTATTATAAATGAAAGGCAGCCGTAGTGGATGCCAGGCACTGTTGTGGTGTGCCAGATTCTGAAGTCCAGATGTAAGCGGGTTACCCCTGGGACAGGACAGGCTTCAGCTCCCGCAGAAGAATGGAGCCAATCACCGTCTTCTCCGTGTTGATGAAGAGCTGTGCTGTGGATCCTTCTTCCAGCTCCACTGTGACAAGCACAAGTGACCCACTGTGCACAGTTTTAGCTGCAAACCTAGCAGATTAAAAACAAAATTGGTGAGTAGTTCCCTAGAAAACTAACATAAAATGCAGTGTTCGTTTCAGTGATTAAGGGGATGAAACTTCACAAGACACCCATAGAATACAAAGCTTTTCTAAAGCCAAACCATTAACATTGCACAATGCAATGTGAAAATAGTATAATTTTATATAGTTATATCTATATAATTTGTATAGAAGAATACTAAAAATGCTTAAAACGTAACAGTTTTGTTTGAATTTTGCCTGAAAGGGCACATAACTGATCTGAAGGTTAACTGTATTCATTCAGGAGTCAAAGTCTTGTTAATATAATATATATGGTAATCAATAAAGAAGGTTCTCCACAACATACACTCTTAAGCACCCTTAACGATTCGAATTTTCCAAATTAACAAATCTTTTCAGTTTTACATATTGGAACATTAAATAGATTTCTAATGACTTTAGCCAATAAAAGGAATCATGAGCTATAATCCTCTATTACTAAATTCCAAAACATGAAAAACCTACTCATTACATGGAATTAAAAGCAAAACTAGTCTTTTAAGCACTGCAACTGATTGAAAAGCCATTTTAGGCACAATGAACTTCTGTCAATCCTGTTAATTCATTCTACATGCAGAGCCAGACCCAAGAGACAGGATGGAAAGACATGGCAAGAGGCTACTTTTCAATGTTCCACAAAGCAAACTGCCCCCCTTCTCTGCTTGGAAAAAAAACAGGGAGAACCCAAGGCACCACAAAGTTGCTGCACATGGGCTTTTGAAAACACTAACAAGTGTGGAGCAGGTCTGCGACCCACAGTGACCCCACTTTGCAGGGCCAATTCCCTCTCCCCTTTCTGAATGACACGTGTCTGAATCAGAGCCATCTGCCTCAATTTGCGCAACATCTTCAGCCACAATAGGACCCAGTTAGCCCTGACAACAGCTCACAATACATAAAAATAAAACTGCTGTGCTGACAGCACGCCATCAGCTATTCAAGAGCAAACCAACTGGTCAGTGTCTCATGTCTGACAATTAGCATGGGCCTTGTGCAGCGCCTCCTGGGCTCCTTAGGGATCTGTTTAATTACCATCAACATAAAAGTGGGAGTTTATCAGCAGATACTCAAAAAGCTTCACTCTAGACTTAATTAAAATATTAGCCTCTTCAGCAGGAAGCAGCTTCTCTTTAAATGAAAAGTAATTTCTTTTTTAAAATATTAAGTATATCGGCATCAAAATCTTGTAACACATTATACTAATTTAGGAAAATATAAGCCTTTCCTAACTGCACTCTTCATAGGTCAATGTATTTATTTTATTTAGATTAAATATACTATTTTCACTCTTCACGGCTAAGAAGAAAAAAACATTCCCATCAAAGCAATGCCAACAGTGCCATTTAGTCTTTTCTTTTTCTTTCAGCAAAATGTTAAAATCTATGTTTCTCCCATCAATTTGGAAAGGGTGATAATTAAGTAAACAATACTCTTATTAATCTATTTCTTTATCATTTGTGTCCTGGGACTATAGAAGCCGATTATGCCTGATTTCACATAATAAAGGCACCAGAGCTGGGGCTCTCATGGTTTTTCATAGCCTCAAGGTTCATTTTATTCTTGTTCTAGTCTAAACTGCAAGCGATATAAAGTCAATGTTATTATAAAAGCAAACATAGCCCAAAGGCACAATGGGGTCAATTCTGGTTGGGTGCTTTTCATGTCACTTAAGTAATCAGTTAAGAAAAAAAAAACCTCTTTGAAATAAATAGCTTAGAATCTCTTGGAAAAAGATTTTGTTGTAATAGCAAGAAATCCGTACCGTCCACCTTCAAACAAGTATTAACTTCCCATGTGGCAGGGATTAATGCTGCTATTATATCTAAGACAAGCTAATATTGGAAGCACTTATGCAAGTCAGATGACTAGTAGTGTCTCACACAGCATTTTACTGTTAAAAGACAAATCTATTTAAAAAGGTAAGCAAGTGTGGTCACAAATATTATGGGTTGTGGGAGGTAAACATTACTTTAGTAAAATAACACCCAGACAACATTCAGGAACACTTGTGTCAGTAAAGAAAACATATACAAACATGTTGAACAACTACCTAACGGAGAACACAATGGCTCTAAAATGATGGAGGTAGTCTACTTAGGAGACCAATACACATGGCAAAGAAATATACAACCCGATGCATCCAAGGTATCTATCTATACATAGACACTTCTCATTCGTAACCATATCAAGTTGTTCTGCAACTTTCATAACCTCTATATACATATGTACACATTTTTCTTATAAGGGAAGAATATGAAGCTTTTATACGTTCAAGATAAAAACTTGGAATTATTAAACTATATAATTAAAAAAACCCACTTCTTTGTGTACTACGATTAATTATACAAATCTGACAGGGATTACGAAAGGTGGCTTTTTTTAAAAAAATCTTCTCTTCCCAAATATCTATATGTATGTACAACCCTGGCATACAGGACTGTACATACATATAGCGCATGGGGGATGCGCATGGGGGATGGTTCTCATTTTGAAGAGTACAGGTGGTCCTTCCTTTATGACTACAATTGGCACTGGAATTTCCATTGCTAAGCAATGCAGTCATTAAGTGAGTTTTGCCTGTTTTTACATCTTTTTTTACTTATTGACTCACCACGTTAATTAAATGAATCACAGAGTCGTTAACTAAATCCGGCTTTTCCCATTGGCTTTCTCTTTCTCTTTTGCTACACACACATCCATGTGCGTGCACACACACACACAGAGCCTTTATTATTTTTATAAATAGCAATAGGTGTTTTTTGGAAGCCCTCTAGGAAGGCTGTAAATGGTGATCTTACGACCCCAGGATGTTTCAGTCATTGTAAATACATGCCAGTTGCCATGTGACTGAATTTTGATCACATGACTGCTGCAACTATCATAAGGTGAGGATCAGTCATAACTCACTCCTTTCAGCACCACTGTAACTTCGAACAATCGTTAAACGAATGGTCATAAATCATAAGGTTTGAAATTAAATGCTGATCATTTTAATGTATATCCATTTTGAAAAAGAGATCTACACTTAAAAGGAATGCTTGATAGCCTTCATAAAGGAAAAAAAAGCCCTTCAGATTATATATGGTTACCCTTGTCCTTCAAAGGAAGCAATAAAGCAGTCTAATTACAAAAAACATTCCTGATTTGAATTCTAAAGTAATAAACTGCTGATTTTTTAAACTAGTGCTGTTCTCAGTCTCTTCTTCACTCTTAACATGAAGATAAAGATTTATAAGTTAGTCTAGAAACCACAATTTTCAGAATCAAAAGGCCACAACAACATTCTTTTTGTTTTAAAAAGATTTTAATCGTTTATTCACTTATATAATCACTGGCTACAAAAGATTTGCAACACTTTTCAACTGCATGCTTTCTTTCGTGTAGTTCTGATCCAAGTTCAATTTCTTCCTCTTTCCAAATTAATCAGAAGCTGTTACAATAGCCCATTCATGCTACAACTTTTTTCCTACTCTCTGCATGTAGCTTTCATTTATTGCCTGCTGAAGCAGACAGAATCCTATTAGTAAGAAAGACCATCACCAGAGGCCCAGCCCTAGCTGTATAAAAATAATTAGCCCAAAGTTGACAAATGAATAATGAAATTGTACAATGAATTAATCTTCCAATCCGAAATACCAGGGTAGTCTTTTGAGCAGACATGAAAAGAATCTACAATCTTGTAACTATTGTAAACCATAAACTTGGCATAAACCAGTCCAAAGTGATGAAAACAATTGTTCTTGTTCTTTTATCAGTTACATAAAGAAAACTGTAAGTCATAAACAAAAGTCACTTTAGAAAGTAACTACATAGTGAAATAGAGTTTCTAAAACAATTAGATTCTACAATTTAATATACTGTACACACCCAGCAATTTTTTTTTCTAGCTGTGCTTCAAACAAAATAAAGCCACAAAAGGCAGACAGACAGGCAAGCCAGTCTCTCCTCAACCCCCTCTCTGCCACTTTGTTATATTGGCAGATTCACAGTTATGTTTAGAAAAGTATGATTGCAATTGTATTGTTTAGTTTCATTTTATTCTTCTTATAATGTAGTTACCACAATTCAACTCTCAAACCAAACAGTAAGCATTATAGCTTGGGAAGCAGAATGGCACGTGCATTTATTTAATATTGAAAAACACTACAAAAAAAACCTCCAATTTGGTTTGTATCAGCATTTAATAGTTATTCTGGAATTTAATATCTCTTAGGTTATTATGACATTTTGCACCCTGAAAAAGAATTGCTTTCCCTGAAAAATTCAGTATTTCTCTGTTAAAAAAGGAAATTATAAACAGCACCATTGTTCAGTTCCCATTATTGAGAAGCAGCTATAATAATCGAATTGTAAAATTGAGCTCTCAGCCAGAAAGGTTAATTTTACACAAATAATCCATAGTGGTTTAAACATAAACCGGCTTGCAAGCATGCTCTGCTTAGAGAATCAGTTGACAACAACATAGAGAAAAAAGTGATCCATATATTTTGCACTTCTTAATTTCAGATATAAAAGCAGTGCTGCTCTCTAGTGGACAGCGATCAGGATAGTTGCCATATCTATCAAAAAAAAAAAAAAATCCAAATAGCACACAGGCAGATTTAAAACTAACGCACTGCTAATTAAAATGGAATTTTGTTCCATATGACTCATAAATAGTAAAATTCTGCAGAGATAATCTTTGCACACAAATAGGAATATGTTAAATAGAGATGATTCAATATTAAATTCAACATTAAAACATGTCCCTATTAATAAGGATGTGTACTACTACAAGATGAAGTTAGATAAGCACTCCATCATTAACCAGTCAGAAGACTACAGGATTTGATGGAATATCTACAGAAATATGGCAAGTAACATAAGAACAAACAGTGACAGTGAATTGGGAATCATATAGTAGACAATAGATTAGAAATGACTACAACACTGATATCAAAGAAGCAT